CAGGCGTTGACCTAGACGCAGCATCTGAGACCATTCCTTGCTCATTTTTTGAAACTGAATGGATTTAAAATGGACGGTTTCCCTTTAATGTTTATTCACACACAGTCTGAATGTGGATCAAAGGGTATGTCTACACTGCAATCAGGAGGTGGGATTGCAGCTCATGTATACCTATCTTAGCGAACTTTAATCTAGCTAGTTCACCTGCCAACAGCAGTGAAGACAGAGCGAGATGGACTTCAGCATGGGCCGTACAAGCCTGTATGGGACCCTGGGTAATTGCCCACATGGCTAGCCCACACTGAAGCCTGTTGCTTTTATCTCAGCTAGCGAGATCAAAGCCAGCTTCAGTATGTCTGCTCAAGCTGCAAGACATCACCTAAACATTTAAGGACCGCTTCAAACATTAGGTCAAATGTTTTCTAAAAAGAGGTGTCCTTTCTGCAGAAATGTCCTGTCTGCTATTACTAACCCTAAGCATTAAACAGTCGTGAGTCATGCCCCCAGAAATCATGAGAGTGGCTTAAAAGAGATTTTTTTAAAAATAATAGATTTGGGGTTCCTTTTCTTTGCCTGATGCTTTCTGCAGATTAGGGTCACATTTTGGGTCATATTTGCAGACTTTTCTCTGAAATGATGAAGGCTGGAAACTTTCTCTTTAAATTAAAGCTGAGATTCTCACAATCAATGACCCCAAGAGCTAGAGATTTTAAAGCAAACAAACAGTACATTCTCATGAGATTTATGAGAAGAACAGATTTTTCAGTTCACACGCAATACCAAGGAAAGGGTCAAACTGAAAATTTTCAAAACTTTTGGCAAATTGAAAAGTAAAATAAGAATAATTCTGGGCCAAACAAACATTTTGTTCAACCTGAAACAAAATGTTTCATTTCAATTTCAACCATTTTCCAAAATGTTTTTTAATTAACAATAAAATTAAAGGAAGCTTTGAAACAAAAAGTCACTTTGAATCAAAAAATGGAAATGTTGCTTTTTTAAAATGTCAAAACACAAGGTTTTGATTTTTTTCAGAATTGTGCTTGAGGGTTTTCTTTTTCCCCCAATGGAAACAATTTGGCAAAAATGACACAAAATGTTTTGGTGCCACCAAATCGACATTTTTTTTGCCAAAAAAAAGTTTTGAATGAAAAGTTTTGCCCAGCTCTAGTTACGGGAGTTGGAAACATTGTTTGGTCCATGTGTGCTGAGAAACACAGTTCACTAATTTATAGCACAATTTTCTGTAAACAGGTGAGGCCTGGGTCTACACTACAAAGATTTGCCAGCATAGACATGTTGGTTAGGAGTGTGAAAAATTCACAGCCCCTAGGCAACACAACTACGCTGGCAGAACTCCCAGTGTAGATGCACCTATGGTGACTTTTGTCAGCTTAACTAATGTCATTTGGGGAGGTGGTGTCCTTCTATCAGCATATGCTGCGGCTAGGCTAGAGGCTATGCTGACATAGGCTCTGTAATGTAGACGTGTCCTGAGGTTCCTCTGTTACAGGCCATCCTTGCTGGTTGTTACAGGCCATCACTTTAAGAACTAATCTTTCTTGGTTTGTAGGTTGTGCTCTATTCGCACAAGTGGGGAAGGAGTTAAGAGTGGGATATTCTAAAGCTGTCAGGATTGTTCTGTTCCCAGTGGAGTCCCGTTTACAAGTACCGAGGTCTACCACTGTGGGCAGAGCTTTGGATCAACCCAGGGTCATTTGGGAGAGGGGAGGGAGACGATCAGGGATTAAGTATCATTAATTTGCATCTCCTCTTGGCTTTCTTCCTAGATTCTTTAAGTCGGGAGTGTGAATCTGAGACTCAGCGAGCCCCAAAGCAGAGGCACAAAGTTGGTTTAAATCCAAAGCTGGAATCAAAGACTCAGAACTGGGTCAAAAAACTGAATACCAGCCAAGGCTGCAGCCAGAGATGCAGCAAGACCCAGAGCCAGGGAAGAAAGGTGATTTAAATCCAGAGCAGGAATCAGGTGCCAGCAAACCCCACAGCCAACAGAGATTGTACTTACCCAAGGCATTTCCTTCCAAATCAACCTCCTCTTATGTGGTCTTCATCTCCCCAAAGGAGAGTTGCATGAGCTGCCACATGAAAGAAAACACGGTCCCCTCCTGTTGTGTATAATGTGAACAAGAGCTGGTTGGAAAAGCAGGTTTTCTTTTGTGTGAAAAATGTTTAGCAAAAATATCAAAATCTGAAATATTTTGGCCAAAAAATCAAAATATTCCAATTTAGAAATCACATCATGGTGCCTGCTGGGAGCTGTTGTTTGGGTGCCTCATAGAATCATAGAATATCAGGGTTGGAAGGGACCCCAGAAGGTCATCTAGTCCAACCCCCTGCTCGAAGCAGGACCAATTCCCAGTTAAATCATCCCAGCCAGGGCTTTGTCAAGCCTGACCTTATGCTCCCATTCTCTATAAATAAGTCTGACTACATCTCCCATGATGCACCAAAGTCCTCCCCTTGGAGAGATTGTTATCAGGTCCCCCCTCAGTCTATTTTTCTCAGGACTGAACATGCCCGGGGTTTTTTAACCTTTCCTCATAGGTCAGGTTTGTTAAACCTTTTATCATTTTTGTTGCTCTCCTCGGGACTCTCTCCAATTTGTCTACATCTTTCCTAAAGTGTGGTGTCCAGAATAGGACACAGCACTCCAGCTGAGGCCTCACCAGTGCTGAGTAGAGCAGGACAATTACCTCCCACGTCTTACATATGACATTCCAGGGAAGGCCGCAGGAGCCAGGGGAGACGGGGGGAGCAGGGAGGCAGCAGGGGCCAGGGACAATGGGGGGAATGGGGAGGAGGACTGGGGGAGACAGCGGGGGCCAGGGATGATGGGGAAGAGTGTGTGGCGCCAAGGGAGGCAGCGGGGGTCAGGGGAGCCAAAATACAAGTTTGCCCAGAGCACCATTCTCCCTAAAGCCGGCCCTGTTTCAACTACTAGAACTGAGTATATGTGTATAGAGATAATAATAACTAAAATGTCTATTTAAGATGACTCCAACTCTGGGCTTTGACTTCATATTTCAATATCTTTCTGCAGAGATGATGAGAGCTTTAGAAAGAGCCCAGGAGCAGCAAGGAAGCAGGAGTCTGATGACAAGTGATGTGCGAGGAGTCACCCCACAAACTACAGAGAAGGTTGTCCCAGAGTCCTTAGAAGATCTGCCTCAGTATTTTATGAAAGTTGTCACTCGGAAAATTTCTGTGCGAGATTCTGGATGACCGAGGAATCAGTGACAGTGATGACAGTTACAGCGAGGAGGAGGAGGATTAAAACATTTTCTCTCTTACTGACACAGCGACATTGTGCTTTAAATGCATCTCCTAGCTTATTTCACAGTAGTTTCCCTATAGAGGCAAGCCCTGCGCCCTAGCTTATCCAAGTGGGTGTGTTTCTAGAGTGGTCCCACTGGGATCAGTTCCTGGCCCTAGGCTATTTGCCATTTTTATCAATGATCTGGAAGGAAACATAAAATCATCACTGATTAAGTTTGCAAATGACTCAAAAATGTGGGGAGTGGAAAATAATGAAGAGGACAGGACACTGATGCATAGCGACATGGATCACTTGGTAAACTGGGTGCAAGCTAACTGTAAATGTATATATCTAGGAACAAAGAATGTAGGGCATACTTCCAGGATGGGGTACTCTCTCCTGGGAAGAAGTGGCTCTGGAAAAGATTTGGGGGTCATAGTGCATAATCATCTGAACATGAGCTCCCAGCTTGATGCTGTGGCCAAAAGAGCTAATGTGATCTTGGGATGGATAAATGGGAATCTCCAGGATGAGCAGAAAGGTTATTTTACCTCTGTGTTTGGCACTGGAGATACCGCTGCTGGAATCCCGTGTCCAGTTCTGATGCCCACAATTCAAGAAGGATGTTGATAATGTGGAGAGGGTTCAGAGAAGAGCCATGAGAACGATTAAAGGATTGGAAAACCTGCCTTATAGTGACAGATTCAAAGAGTTCAATCTATTAAGGCTTTGTCTGCATGAGCACTTTTTTCAGTAAAACTTCTGTCGGTCAGCGGTGTGAAAAAACGACGCCCCCGACCAACAAAATTTTCACCGACAAATGCGCTGGCGTGGACAGCGCTATCGGTGGGAGATGCTCTCCTGCCGACATAGCTACCGCTGCTCATTCGGAGTGGTTTAATTAGGCCAGCCGGTGAGCTCTCTCCTGTTGGCAAAGAGCGGCTACACGGGAGACTTTCCAGCAACAGTACAGCTGTGCCACCGTTAGGTCCATAGTGTAGACACAGCTTTAGTTTAATAAAGAAATGAAGGGGTGACTTGATTACAGCTTATAAGTATCTTCATGGAGAAGAAATATTGAGTAATGGGCTCTTCAGTCTGGCAGACAAGGGTCTGACATGATTCAGTGGCTGGAAGTTGAAGCTAGACCAATTCAGACTGGAAATAAGTTGAACATTTTTAATAGTGGGGGCAGTTAACCACTGGAAGAATTTGCCAAGGGTGGTGGTGGATGCTCCATCACTGACAATTTCCAAATCAAGATGGGATGTTTTTCTAAAAGATCTTGGAGCTATTTGGGGAAATTCCCTGGCCTGTGTGACACAGAGGTCAGGTCATAGGAGGTCATGCTCCGAATGGTCCCTTCTGGCCTTGGAATCTATGAGCAGGAATGCTGGTGCCTAACTCCCATGGGCCTAAGTAAGTGACTTGGCCAAGGTCACACAGGGCATTGAACCAGGTCTCCCAAGTCTCAGATATAGACTAGAACTCCTAAGCTCCCCTCTAAGGCTTTGCTTAGGAATAGTCACCTTTGGGGTGTGTTTGATGAAAGAGCCTGCATTTCCTTCCTTAAAATCCGACAGACAGTGGTTGCCTGGAGGATTTGCAGTGTGCTTAGCCCCGTATAATGGCTTCGGGTTCAGGAAGTGCAATGGGAGGGCTCTGCTGAACTCAGCAGGGTTTTAGTTTCAATTTTAGTCTGCCGAAGCAGAAGCTGCTTCCTGGTTCTCTCTTTCTCCCTGATGGCCCAGCAGTTTGCTTAGGGCCCTGTCTGAGGGGGTGATATGGAGAAGACCGGCAGCAGCAACTCCTTCCTGCTGGAGACCCTGGATGCGCTGGGGGAGGATGATCTCAAGAGATTCAAGTACAAGTTGAAATGGATCCGGCCAGAGAAGAGATATCGAGCCATCCCCTGGGGCCAGCTGGAGAAAGGGGATCGCATGGCTGTTACTGACCTGCTGATCAGCCACTATGGGGAGTGCTACGGGGTGAAGGTGACTGTGCAGGTGCTGAGAGACATCAGCCAGAGACAGCTGGCAGAGAGACTCACCGAGGCCATTTCAGCTGGTAAGGTATAAGCCAGAGAGAGCAGATCCAACCTGCCCCTCCTGCAGGTGGTTATGGTGGGGAGAGACTCAGTGGAATAATACATCTGTTCCCTCTCTAGTGACTCTTCCATTCCATGATCAGCAGCTGCTCCCCATTACCTAGGTGCCTGAGCCCAGCTAGAAACTGTCCCTAGCTGGAAGCACTTGAAAGGCCAGTTTCACTGATGCCTTGAGATCTTTGGTCTTAGCTCCCAGCAACAACTGAGCTCTGCAGACAGATGGGAACCCGAATGTGTCACGTAAGGCTACTGTAGAATCATAGAAGATTAGGGTTGGGAGGGATCTCAGGAGGTCATCTAGCCCAACCCCCTGCTCAAAGCAGGACCAACCCCAACTAAATAATCCCAGCCAGGCCTTTGTCAAGCCAGGCTTTGAAAACTTCTAAGGAAGGAGATTCCACCACATCCCTAGGTAACCAATTCCAGTGCTTCACCACCCTCCTAGTGAAATAATGTTTCTTAATATCCAACCTAGACCTCCCCCACTGCAACTTGAGACCATTGCTCCTTGGTCTGTCACCTGCCACTCCTGAGAACAGCCAAGCTCCATCCTCTCTGGAACCCTCCTTGTGATGAGGCACCGAAAGACACTTCTGCTGGGATCGACCAACTGGTGGCATCAGTCCAGAGTCCAGAATGTGAAATGTGCTGGCCTAAACTGCGTGCAGCGTAGTTGTAGCCGTGGTGGTCCCAGGATATTAGAGAGACCAGGCGGGTGAGGTCAGACCTGAAGAAGAGCTCTGTGCGGCTCAAAAGCTCGTGTCTCTCGCCCGCAGAAATTGGTCCACTAAAAGATGTTACCTCACCCACCTGGTCTCTCCAAGTCAAAATTGTCAGTTAGGCCTTAGCCTTGGCATATTTCAGCAAGATCAAAAATACTGCACCCACAGATCAGGCAGTTAGCCATCCCACTGCTACATTCTGCACATATAGTTCATTTGCAGGCCCCCCCAGAACCAGCTGATATAATATTGCCAAGGCTCTTCATTTTCTTGTTTTATTTTTGTTTGAGGTTTCCTGGGAATTTATGCGTTTATTTAAAAAAATTTAAAATGTGTGAAAATTAGTGCAAACTGCCAGTAAAGGGCCAGCAGGTGAGGGGAGAGAGGGAGGGGATCTGTACTCATGGGGGGGCAGCAAGTGGGGAGGGAGAGAGCGGATCTCGGTCTCAGGCCGGGGGGAAGGGAGGGTGTCTGAACAGCGCCCAGCACAATGGTGGGACGGAGTCTGAAACCCTTTCTCACTCATTTTCTGAACTGCAGTAGATTTCACAGGTGGTGGCTTCCTTTTTAATGGTTTTCACATAGTCTGCACACTCACTGCCGGTATACTGATTGCCCTCGCACATTGACTGCACACATGCACACGCACACAGGCTGATTGAACACATACACAATTGCGTGTACACACATTAATCGCAATGTACACAGGACTGTACGCACACAAGTGTGCGCTGATCACATGTACACACACATTACACACTCATACATGCACTGATCACACATACACATTGCACATCCAGACATCGGTTGCGCAAACACACACACAGAGATTGCATGTACACACATTGCCTGCCTACACACACGGACAGACTCTGACTTTACACCCCCACACTGACTGCATTCATACACACTGACTCCACACACACACACACACTAACCACACACACGGAGATAGGAACGGAGATTCTGGGTAAGGTCAAAGCAGAAATCACACTGTGTGCTTTCTTCTTCTTTGTAAAAAAAGCCCCACAAATGCCCCGTTTATGCTAAGAAACACACCCCAAGGGTTTATATAGAGAGACCCTCAATCAGCTCATTTCCAGCTGCCCCAGACTGAGCACTTTAAACCAGTCTTTCCTTGTTTGCAGATCGTTCCTGTTTGCACACTGAGGCAGGAGGCAGAGATGCCTGAGCCCTTTGGGAAAAGGGCTGGAGCAGATCAGTGACTGAATGCCATTCATTTGTGCTTCCTCTTGTTTTCCTTGCTAGATCTTTTAAGACAGAAGCAGAACTCAGACACTCCAAAAGCCCCAGAGCTGGGGGAAGAAGTTGATTTTAATCCAGAGCAGGAATCAGAGACTCGGGGTCACCCAGAACCAGAGGAGAGGGACATTTCCCAAGGTATTTGCACTTACAAGCTTGTCTCTGCAAGGGATACAGTCCAGGAAAGAAATGTAACTTTGTCCTCCGTATTCCACTGCCAGGGGAGAGCCCCATTAGCCGCCACATGAAGGACATTCAAGACTCCTCTGATGTACACAGAAATTGCAATAGCCTGAGATTTAGCTGTACAATGAAGTAACCTGCACTCACTCCCTCTGCATATGGCAGGTGCTGGGGGATCCAGGGTGCATGGGGGTGTATAGGGCTGGTAGTGAGAGAAACTCAGTGCCTGCAAATCATGAAGGAGATGGGAAGAGCATCTGTCTGGCTTGTGCATGGAGGTGGGGACTGACCAGTTGTGGGAGGGTAAATTGAGGTAGAGTGGGCTATCCAGCCAATAATACAATGGTGATCAGGAGCGGGTGGGAGAGACGCATATCCTTATATGCAGAAGTACGAGCTAATGGGTATGGCCTCTGGTCCTAACATGGGAGTGAAGGGGGCAGTCTGGGCTCCAGTTTATACCATAAGAAGGACCAGACTGGGTCAGACCAATGGTCCATCTAGCCCAGTATCCTGTTTTCCAACACTGGCCAATACCAGATGCTTCAGAGGGAATGAACAGAACGGGGCAATTATCGGGGTGATCCATCCCCTGTTGTCCAATACCAGCTTCTGGCAGTCAGCCAGAGAGTACGGGGTGACTGCAATGTTCAGGCCATTATGTCAAGTGTAGCAGGGAAGAAGAGTCTGTGACTTGTAGTTGAGAGCAAGATGGGGCATGGTGAAAGGGGGAACACTTAATATTGGGGGATGATCGCAAGAGTAACAGGGCAGAGTTAAGGTTAGAGGTGGGTGGACATGGATAAAGGGGCAGAGTTAAAGATGGAGGATGATGGAATGGCTTAATGGGGCAGAGTTAAGGTTAGAGGAGGGTGTGTATGGGTAAAGGGGCAGAGTTAAGGTTGGGGATGGGTGGTGTGAAGGTGTAAGAGGTCAGAGTTAAACTTGCAGGGGTGAACATCTGGAAATGGGCACAGTTAAAGTTGGAGAAGGCTGAACATGGGTAAATGTCATGTTCTTATTTTTTTCCTGCAGAGAGAAGACGAGCCACACAGGGAGTTCTGGAGAAGTTGAACTTGAAGCAATATAGAAGCAGGCAGCTCAGACTGAGGGATCTCCAGGAGATCAGCCCAGAGAGCAGAGAGACCTGGGCTCCTATGACATTAGGGGATTTACCATGGCATTTCCTGAGGAAACTCATGGCTCTGAATGGGACGGCCAGAAACACAAGGCTTGTGCATGAGGCAACTGATGATCAAGAGACCAGTGAGGAGCAGGAAGTACATATTGATTACAATAATCTTTCTCTGAGTAACATGGACAGTAGAAATTCTCTGCACTCCCTCGATGTTCTGTGTGGTGTTCTGCTTTGCTCAGACAGTTTCCTACAGCAGGAGATCCTGTCCAAAATGTCCATGTGCCAGTTTGCCCTCCCTCTGCTGCTACCCGCCCTCGACACCCCCAAGTGCACCCTACTGCTGTGGGCCATGAGGGACATTGTGAGGAAGTGGAGGCCACACTTCCTGGCAGAGAGCAGAGAGTTCAGAGAGGAGAGCCTGGTGCTCATGTCAATGCCAACCATTTCCTTTGTACGGCTGGGGAGCTGCAGCTTCTCCAAGTCCAAACTCCTCAATGACATTCTGAGCCTCTCCCAGCAGCCCCACGATTTCTTCATCCATCGCGACATGGAGTCTGGGAACATCCCTCGGGAAATTGCAAATGGGCTGGTCGAGATTTCCTGGTATTTCCCTTCTGGGAAGGCGAGCTCAGATCTTTTCCCAGAACCCGTTGCAGTTACAAATCTGCGCGGAGACATTGAGTCGCACTGGCTGCAGTTCAGCTTTTTAACAGCGGTCTCCTCCGCAGTGTTCATTGTTACTGAAAGTATCAACGAGAGACAATATGCACTGTTATCATCTCTGCAGGGATCAGCCACTAAATACCACTTCATCTTTAACTGCAAGATTGAGAAACCCGAGGAGACCCTGGGATTCCTTTATAAATTAGAGTCTGTGCTGAAACTAGACAAACTAAGTGTGCTGATGAGAGAGAACACCCTCAATCATGCTCAGTTTGTGGAGAAGCTGCAGTTCACCATTGCAAGCCCAATGGAGTCCTCTCTCAAGAGAACCTCCATTGCAGACACGGCTGTGACAGCACGAGAATTAGGTATCCGGGTGGATGAGGACTGTGAGGAATGCCAAAGTGCGAGCAAACGGGTGGCAGGAATCACAGCGGAAATAAAGGACGTGGCAAAGTACAAGAGGGAAATGTTGAGGCTCCCGGGAGATCGGTGCACAAAGTTGGCCAAGGCGGAGAAAGAGCTGTGCCGAATGCAACGGCAAGGGGACGCCGCCATTGGGCTCCAGGCATCTCAGCAAAGAGAGGAATGGTTGGACTTATATACCCAGCAGTATAAATATGAGCTTACTGATGGGATGGTCAAGTTTATTGCTGGGCTAGGAAAACTCTCTCAAGTGGAAACACACTACTTCCTAAAGTGGATGAAATACCATCTGGGTCATATTGCTCAGGGCAATCTCTCCAGCCTGCAGGCAGACTATAAGGAGAAATGTCATACTAGAGGGGATGATCCCCAGCATCAAGCAGAACTGCATGAACCAATTTCCTCCAGTCCCTTAGGGGTGGAGCATTTCATGCGTGGGTTGGGGCAGTTTTATGAAGCTGAGTGTGCAATGATGAAGGAAGGAAAAAAGCTAAAAACCCAAAGGCAACTCATTCATCTCCCAGGCATAGCAGCTGACCTGATGCTGGAAGGGTTTCCTCTAGAACTGATCGATGGAGAAGTATCCAACATCCCACTGCAGTGGGTGACAGATGTTCTGATCCAGCTCCATGCCAAGCTGCGGGGAAGGTCCAGAATGCTGGTTCTAACGGTGCTGGGAGGGCAGAGCACTGGGAAATCCACCCTCCTCAACACCATGTTCGGCCTGCAGTTTGCAGTGAGCAGTGGCCAACGTACACGAGGAGCCTTCATGTCAGTCATTAAAGTGGCAGAGAACTTTCGGCAGGAGCTGGGCTGTGATTTCATCCTGGTGATAGACACAGAAGGCTTGAAAGCTCCTGAACTGGCCAAGTTGGAGGACAGTTATCAACGTGACAACGAGCTGGCCACCCTGGTGATTGGACTGAGTGACATAACCATAGTTAACATGGCCATGGAGAATGCCAGCAACATGCAGAGAGTTCTGCAAATTACGCTAGATACACTTCTGAAAATGAAGAAAATCAGGCAACATCCAAACTGCCAATTTGTGTATCAGAAAGTCAGTGATGTGTCCGCACATGAACAAACCACGGGAGACAGGTATCCGCTCCGGGAGCCGCTAGATGAAATAACCACAGCTGCAGCTTGTACAGAAAAAGGAATCAGGAAAATGAAATTTCCTGGTATTATATTTAATGATGCAGAGAAACACAATTGGTACATCCCTGACTTGTGGCATGGTGTCCCTCCCATGGCTCCAGTGAACCTGGGATACAGCAAGAGTGTGTTTGAGCTAAAGAAATACCTGTTTGAATACATAAGAAGATACTCATCTAATAAACCCGTTAAGGACATCCCCCAGTTTAGTGAATGGGTAAGGAGCTTGTGGAATGCTATAAAACATTCAAATTCTACCTTCAGCTTGAGAAATAGCTTTGTGGCTCACACTTATAACCAGCTGTGCACAAAGTATTCTGAATGGGAATGGGATTTCCGCAAGGAGATGCATCTCTGGGTGTCTGAGCAAGAAACTTTAATCCAGAATCAGCCTCAAGCTGAAATAGATCATGTGGCTTTAAGGAGGTTAAAACATGAAATTCAGCAGAAACTGCAGCAAGAAGAACGGAGGCTCTTGGCTTGTTTGCAAGAATACATTGAAAGTGGAGCTGCAAATGTGCTTCTGACAGGGAAGTACAAGGAAGATTTCATCAGGAGCACCAATGGCCTGAGGAAAGAACTCAGAAGGTACTGGTTCAGAAAGTGTGAAGAAGCACTTGACAGCCAAAGCAGCCCAGAGAGATTGAGCCATCAGATCCAAGCCATGAACATGAAAACAATGAAAGGGAAGGAGGACGGTCTGTTGGGACACTGCAGGAAAAGAAACCTTTTCTCGGAAAGGGACACCTTTCAAAAGGGGATCAGGATATTCTGTGAGGAGTGTCTGAGGCCTGCGCTGGTGGATTACGTTAATAGGATGCTTGGTATAAAAATAGTGGACAATTTTCGCAGAAGTGCACAGGGGATTGGATATGCCAATCGGAGCTTCTTCCAGTTTTGGTTGCTGAGCAGACTCTTGGAGGAGATGAACTTTGATGGCTATGTGAAATATATTAATAACTACGAAGAGTTTGCCAAAACTTGGATATGGACACACCTGTTAGATCACTACAAAGAGACTAGGGGCGTGGAAGATTTGGAGACAGAGCTTCTGTCCACAGTAATAAAGAAAAGCAGGGAAGCTCTGGAGAAATCCAAGACTCAGACTGACTTTTTAGGCAGCTTTTTCAAATATTTGCAAAGGGATCTTGTAATATCCAGGGACAGCTTAGGCAGAATCCAGCTTATTAACACAATAAATACAAACCAGTTTCCCACTGCTGTTCAAGGCTTTCTGCCTGCACTTGAGCAAGCAATCTTATCCCAGTTTAAAGACTTGGATGTTGAGTCTAAGCTCTCCATCCTGCCTCTGAAGCCCCAGGAGGAGATCTTTAAGCACGTGTTTGGCTGTGGGAAGTGCTGTCCGTTCTGTAAAGTCCCCTGTGAAGCGGAAGGCACCGATCACAAAATTCATTTTGCATCAGTCCACCGGCCCCAAGGGTTAATGAAACCCAGGAGAGTCTTCTTACCCTGTTTGGCACATGGCCCAAAACTTGACTATTCTCCGTGCTATTTTGAATGGCTTATCAGGGATTCCCACGTCCACATAGGTTACCACCATTGTTTTTGTGAAGATAACAATGCCTTGCGCTGTTGTTCCCCAGCAGATTCCAGCTACAAAACTTCCAACTATTGGAAGTTTGTTTTCAAGGAGTTCAGCCAACAGTTTGCTAGAGAGTATGGTACTAAACCAGCCGATCTGCCCAGGGACTGGGGTAATATAACCCAAGAGCAGGCACTGAAAAGTTTAGAGGAAGCTTTTAAAGGGGCAATCTCAGTGCCAGGTCAAAACTGGCTCCAGGTTGTACAAAAGAAACCTAAGGTGTTTCCATGAAACATATTAAATAAATTTCTAATGGAAATAGAATAGTAATTATTCCTGTAGCTCAAGTGGTAGAAGTGCATGCTGGGAAATTGGACATCTGTGGGTCAAACCCCACTTATTACCTATAGGGAGGAGTTTTATGGTTGCATGTGACAGAATTGGATTTCCCAGTTTTACTTTTTAAATACCGAAATATTTAATTATTATTATTTATTTAAATGGATTGCTGTAGCGCCTAGAAGCCCTAATCATGGACCAGGACCCTGATGTACCAGGCACTGTACAAACAAAATAAAAGGGCAGGTCCTGTGCCACAAAACTTGAAAAATTTAATTCACACATTGAGAAAAATCTCTCTTCAACTGGGCGTTAGAGTTAAAAGCTGTTATAAAAAAGGGTGACCCAGTTGTTAGGGTGCTAACTTGAAAGACTCGGGTTCAATTCCCTGCTCTACCACAGACTTGTCGTGTGACCTTGGGACAGTCACTTAGCCGACCTGTGCCTCAGTTTCCCCATCTGTACAATGGAGAGAATAGCTCTGCTCTGCCTCACTGCGGGGGGATGTGGAAACAAATGCATGGAGAATTGTGAGGGGCTCAGATACTGCAATAAAGGGGACTTGTCAATCGATGATGCAACAAAACACAGGGTGCTCCGCTTTTCCGCAATTGCGGGTGCAGAGTTAAGAATGACTCCCTGCTGCAGCAACTCAACGGCAAGATGGGGCTATGGCTGGCCAAAGCTGATCAGCGGAGCCAGGGAAAGTATGTAGCACCCTCTCAAGGGACGTAACAGCGAATCCCACCGAGCACTATGGTTTTCTGTGGCAGAATATCTCAAGATACTTTGCCTGTGGTGGACTGGCTCTGTACTACGGGGTTGTGTTTATAGGGCCTGAACCAAAAGTGGTCTGAGCATTGGCCTGCTAAACCCAGGGTTGTGAGTTCGATCCTTGAGGGGGCCATTTAGGGATCTGGGGCAAAAATTGGGGATTGGTCCTGCTTTGAGCAGGGGGTTGGACTAGATGACCTCCTGAGGTCCCTTCCAACCCTGATATTCTATTATTCTATTCTATGAAAAGGCATGGACATTTGAACATCGCTGGACTTTGGAGCAGGCCTGTAACACACAATCCAGCCTGGAATATGGTGCAGATTCAGCGATGCTTTGTCCAGCCAAATCAAGAACCACATGTGATCTATGTTTCTATTTTGATTATGGGAACAGGGTTTTAGACTGTAAACCCCATACTGTCTATATTCCTTTAAAGAAACTGTATATACTTCCTTAAAACAAAATAAAAAAAATACTGATTTTTTTTTAATCCTGTGTGAAACAAGAATAATTTTGCATCTAAAGAAATAAACTGCAGAAAGACCCACAGGGACGATTTATTTTGTGTGCAAATTGGTCCTGATTCAGCAAAGCCCTTAAGACCAGATCCTCAAAAGGTACTTAGGTGCCTAATTCCCAGGGGAAGGGGTTAGGTTTCAGGTTCCATCCCTCACCTAGCTGGGCTTCAATTCTTCTTGATGCTTGCGCAGATGTGGAGGAAAAGAACCTGTACATCTAAAGGCACAGTGGGTTTGGAATCATGGCAAGAGCAAGTCAAGGAAGGGGCTGTGGACTGAATTAATCACTGATGTTAAATGGGAATCCAGCTCCTCAACCCCTTAGGCAGCTTTGAAATTCTCAGGCTAAAATTCGAGATCCAACTAGAGCTGTGCATAGGATGGAGTTTTCAGATCACTGGCTATTTAATTTTTATTTTAAAATATTCATTTTGTGTGGAACCGAAAACAATTAAAAAATAGAAACCATCTGATGGCTCAGAAAGTCGGACCCAAAATGAATTCTTGTCTAACAACATGGCTCATGACCCAAAATGAAATTTTTCAATTTTGAACATTTTTAAACATTTTTGAAAATAAAAGTCAGTCCACTGCACCCAGGATAATGAGTCACTTTTTCAGGGTGTTTACAGGGCCCTCCCACGAGGCATGAGGGACTGTGTGGGTGAAAGCCCAAAGGTGCCTGTTTGGAAGTGTATCAGATGGGTGCTGGAAGCTGCCATCATGGGCCAGCTGAAGGCAGGAGTTGACCTTTATAGTGAAAGGAAGATGATAGGTCGGGTGGGGATTAGCCATGAAGGGCCTTGAAAGGGACGACAAGCAGCTGACATGTGACATGATGGAGAAGGGAAAGCTAGTGGAGGGATGCAGAGAGAGGTGATGTGGCCAAAGGGATGGGCCATGTTCGGAACGGCTACGTGCAAGACAACATTGCCTTAGTCAAGGTCAGAGAGAAGGATGCTTCAGTAATTGAGAGCAGAGATGACACCGGTTTTAGCTGTGTCGTTGGATGGGAAAGGCCATATCTTAGAGACGTTCTGCAGAACAAATTGTCAAGATTTAGACATGGCCCTCTCTCTAGTTCCCGCAGGCACCGACTTTCCAATGTGCTGGGGGGTGCTCGACCCCCGGCTCTGCCCCAGGCCCTGCCCCCACTCCACCCCTTCCCCCCAGTGTCCCGCCCAACCTCTTCCCACCCCCTCTCCACCCCCGCCCTGCCCCGCCTCTTCCTGCCCCGTTCTGCCTTCTCTCCTGAGCACACCATTTCCTCGCTCCTCCCCAGAGCCGCCTGCATGCCGTGAAACAGCGACGAGCGGGAGGTGTGGGGAGGGAGTGGGAGGCGCTGATAGGCGGGGTCTGCCAGTGGGCAGGAGGCACTGGGGGGAGGGGGAGCTACTAATGGGGGGTTGCCAGTGGGTGCTTAGCAGCCACCATTTTTCCCCTGTGGGTGCTCCAGCTGCAGAGCACCCACAGAGTCCGCACCTATGCTAGGCCCTCACATCCAGGCTGAGTCCAGTAGGATGGTGGTGTTGTCCACCATGACTGAGAAAAGAGGGAGGCACCAGTGGGGAGGGCCTGGGAGAGAAAGATTAAGAGCTCTCCTTTAACCATGCTGTGCTCAAGCTGATGAAGAAACATCCCCAAGGGGATGTCACAGAGATAGGCCAAGACTTCAGCTGGTACAGAAGGAGACTGGTCTGGAGTAGAGAGCTAGATCCATGAGTTGTTAGCATCAAGATGTTAGCTGAGTTTGTGTTGGATGTAAAGCTACGATGTTAATATTTTTAGTTATATTTAAAAAACAGAGTTGAGTGCTCATAAGTTATGGTGGAAAATAAGATATTCTATGCCATGAGAGATTCTGATAATTTCGACATTCGTTTTTTCATACTGATTTGGGACTAAAGTCAAAATTCTGCATTTTTGTCACCGAATGAAAAATTCTGAAAAAATTTCCATTCTGAAATGGCAAACTGTTCCGCTTTGAGCCAGTTCGACATTCAACCGCCTCGGACTCCGGTGCCGCAGAGCTTCCCAGAAGTGGTAGGCCAGAAACCCCACGCCTTCATTCTCTGCTATGTGGGGCTGTCAAGGTTCCTTCCCCACTCTGAACTCTAGGGTACAGATGTGAGGACCAGCATCAAAACCTGCTAACCTTACTTTTACCAGCTTAGGTTAAAACTTCCCAAGGTACAAATTATTTTACCCTTGGATTTCCACTGCCACCACCGAACTTTCCTGAAAAAACGTAGTTTGGACATGTCTTTCCCCCCAAAATCCTCCCAACCCTTGCACCCCACTTCCTGGGGAAGGTTTGGTAAAAATCCTCACCAATTTGCATAGGTGACCACAGACCCAAACCCCTGGATCTTAGAACAATGAAAAAGCATTCAGTTTTCTTACAAGAAGACTTTTAAAAAAAGTAAAAAAGGAATCATCTCTGTAAAATCAGGATGGTAAATACCTTACAGGGTAATTAGATTCAAAACATAGAGAATCCCTCTAGGCAAAACCTTAAGTTACAAAAAAGACACACAGACAGGAATATTCATTCTATTCAGCACAGCTATTTTCTCAGCCATTTCAAGAAATCATAATCTAACACATACCTAGCTAGATTACTTACTAAGTTCTAAGACTTCATTCCTGTTCTGTCCCCAGCAAAAGCATCACACAGACAGACACAGACCCTTTGTTTTTCTTCCTCCTCCCAGCTTTTGAAAGTATCTTGTCTCCTCATTGGTCATTTTGGTCTGGGAGGAACTCCCCACAGTCAGCGTGGGCGATCGAGACCGGCTAGAGTTGCCTCTCACCCTGGCTGAGTTCTCGGAAGCCCTCCGTCGCATGCCCACCAATAAATCTCGGGGCATGGACGGGCTGACCGTGGAGATCTACCGCGCGTTCTGGGACATCCTTGGCCCAGACCTAGCCACTGTGTGGGCTGAGTCTTTGCAGGGCAGAGTCCTCCCTCTTTCGTGCAGGTGAGCTGTGCTCGCCTTGTTGCCGAAGAAGGGGGACCTCCGCGATTTACGAAATTGGCGTCCCGTCTCACTCCTTAGCACGGACTACAAAATCGTAGTGAAAGCAATCTCGCTGCGGCTAGGGTCCGTGATGGCGGACGTGATCCACCCAGACCAGACCTATACTGTCCCGGGTCGCAGCATTTTTGACAACCTATTTCTAGTCCGAGACCTTTTGGAACTCGGGCGTAGAGACGGTCTGTCGTTCGCCCTCCTGTCTCTCGATCAGGAGAAGGCATTCGATAGAGTAGACCATGAGTACCTCCTGAGCACTCTGCAGGAGTTTGGATTCGGACCTCAGTTTGTGAGTTTTCTCTGGGTGCTGTACGCTTCCGCGGAGTGTCTGGTTAGGCTCAACTGGACCCTGACTGAACCGGTCAGCTTCGGGCGAGGAGTGCGGCAGGGGTGCCCCCTCTCGGGCCAGCTGTACGCTCTGGCGATCGAGCCTTTCCTCTGTCTCCTCCACAGGAGGCTGACAGGGTTGGTGCTGCGGGAGCCGGAGCTGCGGCTGGTCCTGTCAGCGTACGCCGATGACGTGCTCCTCGTGGTCCAGGACCCGGGCGACTTGGCGCAGGTGGAGGCTTGCCAGGCCATCTATTCGGCAGCCTCCTCCGCCCGAGTCAGCTGGGTCAAGAGCTCTGGCTTGGCGGTGGGGGACTGGCGGCAGGTGAGCTCCCTCCCACCCGCGCTTCAGACTATCCGGTGGAGTGCGGGTCCACTGCTCTACCTAGGCATTTACCTTTCTGCCACGCACCCTTCCCCGCCAGAGAACTGGCAGAATTTAGAGGGCGGGGTGATGGAGCGGCTCCGGAAATGGACGAGGCTACTCTGATGTCTCTCCCTCCGAGGGAGAGCACTGGTGCTTAACCAACTAGTCCTGTCCACGCTCTAGTACTGGCTCATCACCCTGGCCCCGGCCCCGGGTTTCCTGACCCACCTCCGGACATCGATTCTAGAGTTCTTCTGGTCAGGAATGCACTGGGCCCCTGTTGGAGTTCTTCATCTACCCCTGAAGGAAGGAGGGCAGGGCCTGAAGTGTCTGTACACTCAGGTCCGTGTCTTCCGCCTCCAGGCCCTGCAGAGGCTCCTTTATGGTGCAGGTAGTTCGACGTGGAGCAGACTGGCGCACGCCATCCTGCGCCGTTTCCAAGGGCTTCGATACGACCGGCAGCTCTTTTATCTTTCTCCGAGGGGTTTTCCGCGAGACCTCTCCGGGCTGCCGGTCTTCTACCAGGACCTCCTCCGGACCTGGAAACTGTTCTCAACGACCAGGTCTGTGGCGGCCACCGTGGGAGCAGATCTCCTCGCGGAGCCCCTGCTACACAACCCCCAGCTCCGTGTGCAGGTAGCGGAGTCCCGCTCGGTGTGCCAGAGTTTGGTCCTGGCGGAAGTCACGAGAGTCGGAGACCTCCTGGACTACGACCGGGGAGACTGGCTGGATCCCCTGATGCTCGCCCGGCGCATGGGACTCTCTAGACCTCGTACCCCCCGGCGCGTACTTCAGGAGGTGAAGGCCGCCTTGACGCCCGCTGCTCGGGCTTATCTTAATCGAGCCCTGCGCGAGGGCGCACCCTGCCCACCCTCTACCCCAGGCCCGCCGGACCTTTCAATTGAGCCCCTACCCCGTAGATCCCAACAAACCCCTCACCCTTTCACTGCGAGACGGCTGCATGAAATGCAGCCGGTCAGCTTCCAAATCGCACCACGGAAATATTTATACACACTCACGCTTCACACCCACACCCTGGTGTCCCACCCCGATACAAAGTGGCAGGACCTCCTGCCACCTTTGGAGGGTGAGCAACCTTGGTGGGCCAGCCTGTATTCCACCTTGGTCCCGAGGCCCATCAGGGACATTAGTTGGCGGCTTCTTCACGGAGCTGTGAGCACGGGCGTGTTTTTGACACGGTTCACCCCCATCCTGGATACTTGCCCTTTTTGCAATG